CCAGCTCTGGGAGTCATCAAGTCTCAGAAATAGTGGGTCTAAGCTTTTATCAAAGCAGCGTGTAGCCCAGAAACCTCTTTTTTTTTTTTTAAATACTAGTAAAGACTAAATCTACCACATAGCTTAATGTGCCGCTGGCAGATGCCTCATTCCCGCCATACTGCCGGTCAAACGCAAACGCCAGGAACCCGCCAGTGTTCAAACCTGCGTTTTGCAGCGTCTATCTGCCCGTATGAGACAAGAAGGAGGAACCTGGTTTTGGCTCTGTTTAGAATTGGTTATTAAATATTCTCAGGTTTAAAGTGGAAACTCGAGCCGTTGGGCGCCATTTGTTGCTGGAGGGCTTCTCTCCAGGTTCCCCAAGCCCCGCAGTCCCACAATCCACATATAAAATAATCACTCAGACGCTTATATCACTTATAAACTGTATGGCCGTGGCAGGCCTCTTCTTATATCTTAAATTAACCCATTTCTATAAATCTATACCTTGCCACGTGGCTGGTGGCTTACCAGAGTCTTTACATGCTGCTTGTCCTGGCGGTGGCTGAAGTGTCTCTCCCCTCAGCCTTCCGCTTCCCAGAATTCTCCTCTCTCCTTGTCCCACCTACTTCCTGCCTGGCCACCTACTTCCTGCCTGGTCACTGGCCATCAGTGTTTTATTTATATAGAATGATATCCACAGCAATCTCTCCATTCCCTAAACTACTTAAGAAGAAAAACTGGATTTGAGATGATTTTTTTTAATTATAGGTAATACAGATAATGCGAAATGTGTGAATTGGGGATTATTTTACATGAGATTTCACATAAAACTGGGATTTAATTTTTAAGGGAAATGATCTTACATTTCTGTTTGATTATAAGATAATATTCACAGAGAGTGTAAGGTTACATGAATCTGAGTTGCCTTTTCTGTCCCTTTTCAGATTTTTGACTACTGAGTCTGAAGAAGTTGGCCAGTATAATTGCTTGTGGTTTAATGTGAAATGGTTCCCCACAGGCTTACCTGTTGAACACTTGTTTCCCAGCTTGTGGTGCTGTTTGGGAAGGTTGTGGAACTTTGAGGTAGTGGAGCTCTCTGGAGGAAGTGAGTCACTGGAGCTGGCCTGTGGGCATTATCCTGAGCATGCCTGTATGCAAATTCACCTCCCACCCCTGAGCATGCCTGTATGCAAAGACTCCACCTCCCACCCCTGAGCATGCCTGTATGCAAAGACTCCACCTCCCACCCCTGAGCATGCCTGTATGCAAAGACTCCACCTCCCACCCCTGAGCATGCCTGTATGCAAAGACTTCACCTCCCACCCCTGAGCACGCCTGTACACAGACTCCCACCTCCCACCACTGAGCATGCCTGTACACAGACTACCCCACCCACCCACACCCACCCCTTCCCATGCCACTACTCTGTCTTGTCACTAGCTACTAGCCTTCTCTGACAGCTGCCATGTGTCCCAGCCACAATGGAATGATCCTCCAGAAAGATAAGACAGAATAAATGCTATTTTCTCTAGGTCAGGTATTTTATCACAGCAAGGAGAAAAGTAAGTAATATACTTTTCAACTAAGTACTTCCAAATCTATTGAACCTACTTCAATTTAAATATATATATATATATATATATATAGGAAACAATTGATAATGTCTCAGAAGAGAAAAGTTGGGGGAGGTATTTTCAACAAGTCCAGGGGCACAGTGGCTGAACTAATTTTAAAACCCTCTGGTTTATAGTCAGTAGACTTGTGGTGTTGGTAGGAGTTGAGCAGAGAGAAGCAGGTGGTTAAACACGTCTGGTCTGGCCAGGTAACTATTCTGTGACTTTTGCTGAGGTGAGCAATCCATTATGTGAAAGCCTTGAACACATATAGTCTCGTTTTTTTATGTCCATTTCCAATACTTTCTGGGAAAATGTAGTTGATGCTAGCTGTGACAGAAAGTACCTAGAACTTATTTCCACGAAGACAAAACTTACCTAGTGAGGTGTGGCATGATAGAAAGCTTTAGATTTTTGTGATAGTTTTGGGATGGACCTGTGATCATCACCTAAGATGGCTTCAGAGGTTGAGTTGTGTTTGTACATCCCATATAAGTCACTAGTTTCTCTACAAACGCACTAAAGGTAAGCAAATTGTGTTCAAATCCATCAGTTAGTTCATAGTGTGATATTTTGACAAATTGTAACAAACTGCAGCTCTGAAGTGATTGCAATGAGCATGTGATAGTTCAATGTATTTGACAAAATGAACTGAGAAATTCATTGTCTTGGATATTTTTCTATTGCAGTTACAAAACATCGTGACCAAGGGACAAAGGAAAGCATTTCACTGGGGACCTGCTGACAGTTTCAGAGGGTTGTTAGCCCATGACTATCATGGCCAGAAACATGGCAGCAGCTAGATAGACATAATGCTGAGGCACTAGCTGAGAGGTCACATCCTGGGGCAACATCCATGGGGCAGAGAGAGCCAACTGGAATGGTGTTGGCTTTTGACACCTCAAAGTCCAGCCCCACACCGGTGACACACCTCCAACAGGTCAGACCGCAAATCCTTCCCAAACAGTCCTACCACCTAAAGACCAAGCTTTCAAATATTTGATCCTACTGGGGGCCATTCTCTTTCAACCACCACATCCATTAATATTCGTGGGCTTGAAAACAGAAGGAAACAGTACACTCCCAGGTATCAGATGAACGGAAGGAAAATCACAGGAGAAACAAGAAAACACTTGGAAAACGTGTAGAATGAAGACAAGACATCCCTAAATGTATCAGATGCAAAGTTATTATGGTAAAGAGGAAGTTTATAGTTTGGATGGCTACATTTTTATTAATTAAATTTATTCATTTATTTTACATTTGACTGCAGTTTCCTGTTGTGTGATATTTTGATTGCATTCTGACAATAAAGTTTGATTTGAATCAGAGGGTGGAGCTAGCCACTAGCTGATCAAAATTAACCATAGAGGTTTTGGAGGACTGAGGACGGATAGAGAGACAGGAAGCAGTAATGATCTCAGAGAGGATCAGCTTTTTGGTTGGAGGGATGGAGGAGATTGGAGGTCATGGTCACTTTCCACAGCTTCTCTGATCATTCAGGTCCTTACCCTGATACCTGATTACAGGTTTTATATTGATAAAGAATAATTAAATAATGCATCAGTTTCCCTTCCCTCCTTCTCTCCCATTCCCACCCCGTACACCTCTCCTCAGCCACAAATGGCTATATTTTCAAAGAAACAAGGTCTCATCCCAATAACCTAGTCTTGCACTTTCATGTTCTAAAAAAGGGGGAAATAAACATGAAGTGAGCAGAATGAAAGAGCTAATGTAGTTCAGATGAAAAACTAATGCATTGGAAAAGAAAACAGAGTAAACAGGATGAAAAGTGATTCCTTAAAAAGATCAATAAGATTGTCAAACTTTTAGTTAGACTGAGAAGAAAACAAACTCAAATTATTAAAATCATTTGCTGTAGACATCAGCACTGATTTTTATAGAAACATAAGGGATCATTTAGAACTATATGAATGAATGTAAGCTTATGAGTTAGATGACTTAGATGAATAAGAATAATTTTTTATTTTTGAGACCGAGTCTCACTATGTAGCTCTGGCTGCCCCAGAACTCAGTTTCTGTATAGACCAGGCTGGCCTTCGAGATCCACCTACCTCTGTCTCCTAAGTGCTGAGATTCATGCCCTATGTAAATAATTTCTTTAAAAACGTAGACTTTTAACACTTCTACAGTAAGGCCTCCACCACAGATGGCTTTGTCACTGAATTCCACCCAACATTTAAAGGATAATTGGTACCAATTTTCCATAAGAAGTAGCGAGGAGCAAACATTTCCCAATGCTTAGCTAAAGCCAGGAATATCCTCATGTTAAAACCAAACAAAGCTCTTATAGGATAATGAAAACACAAAACAATATATTTTCTGTTCGTAATATACAAGAAAAAAATGCCTCAAGAAAAACTCACAGATGAACCATCATATAAAGAGGATTATATTCCACATAGAATTTGTTCTAAAAAATTCAAGATTAAATAAATGTCAGAATACAATAGAAATACTACATCAAATCCATGTGCATAGAATTCAGGAAAAGTGACAAGGCCCAGTACCTTAGTGACAGAAAGAAAATGCAACAGACTGGGAATAGAAGGGAATGGTCTCACTGTGACAAAATCCATCAGCAAAACCCCATAGCTGACACCATGCCGAATGGTGAAACTTTGATGCTTTCTCCATGTGATGGCCAGGTAGGTTCGTTCATTTATTTTCTTCAACTACACAAGCTAGGTCATCTGGAAAGAGGGACCCTCAAAGAGAAAAATGCCTCTATCAGGTTGTCAGGGAAGCATGTTTATTTTATTTTATTTTACATATCAGCCACGGGTTCCCCTGTTCTCCCCCCTCCCACCCCCTCCCCTTACCCCT